GCTATCGTTTCTGGACGCCACTGATGAGCAGAAAGCAAAGGCTCTGCTTGTTAATGCGAAAGAGATTTTGGAGATGTATCATGTTAAGGAGCGGGAGAAGATGGCCGAAGTCCTACATTACAAGCCTTACTCTGACTTTACTGAAACCAACGTCGAGAATCGTCTAGCAGCCATTGAGGAACTCATCCGGGAACAAGATTACACGACCGCAATGAAGCAATCTGACGAGCTGATTAAGATTGCCTTGCAGGGTCTAAGGTACCTGCAGACCTATGCGTGGCTATTTCTGCGAACGCTGGTCACAGCAGGCTATCTTGGCTGGATCGCATTCGCTTTCACGACAGCCGTAGATGTCTACGTGCTCGATGGCAAGATCGATGTGCAGAGGCCACCCGGACTCATTATAGCTTTTGCCTCGATCCTGGTCGGGCTTTACAGTCTGCTCATTTTCCAGGCATCACCGATCACATACTACGCGTACGCCTTCTTTCCAGTCTTGTTTTGGGAAGAGGTTTTTGCGCGGTCGAGGGCGTTGGCCGAAGGCAAGAAAAAGTTGTTTTCGCAGTTTTCGAAGAGTGATACAGTTAAGTTTCCATTGAAGATCGCTGCATATCTGGCATTGCTGGAAGTCATGGTGAGTACCCGAGTTCCAACAATCAATGCCTGCTTACGAGTTTCACAGGTTCAAAGCTACTACAATCGACAGGTCTATACGATTGTCTACCTGACCGCTACCGCTTGGCCACTGCTCTACGGTACAGACTTCGTCAAGACAAACTTTTTCCTCTGCACTACATGGGCACTTTCCTGCGCTGCTATGAGCGTGTTCACTCTTCTACCAGCTAACAAATTGGAGGATATAACCCTCATGTACGTAGAGCCCATACAACATATTATCCTATAGCTGACTCTATCTCAGCTCTGTCGGTGGCACCCTAATCCTTCTAATCGGCTTTTTGTATATTGCGTTTGAAAATAGACTATTGGTACAGACTGTGCCCTCAAAAGATGGGCTGAGCACAGCAGATGCCGATGGTGTGTCAAGAGCTATTCTTGGTTTGCAGGTCGGACTGGTTGCTCTTGCAATGCTTGTCACGAGGTCGAGTGTGGCTTCTTTACAGACGAAGCAGGGACTTCCGCTGGGAACACAGATTGCTGGGTGGGCTACGCTGGGTAAGTACTGTTTTGGTTTCTTTTCCTTGCAGCTGTTGCTAGACATTGGAAACGCCAACTGGATGGCTTATGCGATACGCGACATCGATTCACATTATTGTATGCGAGAATCGACATCAACTACGGGCTATGAGCATATTTGCCAGCAACGTGCAATGACTGGGAGATGCCTTGACGGTCATGGAGCAACCCTGATGATCGTTCAGGGCACAAAGTCTTTGTACGAGGATTTGGCTGGGTGTATTCTTGATCTTCTGTCTCTCACTAGCATTGTCTACGGCATCGGCTTTGAGATATGCTTCCGAGTGCTGCTCAGACTACTCTTCAAGGCGCGCAAGTGGTGGCTGGAAGCACGAGACGAAGTATATTGGTACGATTGTACATACGCCTTGCCCCGTCACAAACTCATCGTTTACCTGCAAGACGAGATTGCTGCTGCTCAGCTTGGTGGCGCGACAGTCTCAATGTGAGAAGGGTGCAAAGAGCTCAGAGGATATCAGCTTAGATTAAAAGGACAGCTACCTGGATCTGGACCAAGATTATCTATACGCCGCCGTTGGCTATGCTACCAAGGGACATTGGTCCTCAGCAGATCAATGACTTCGTGCTATAACAACAATCAGGAAAACAGGATCTCCCCCAACAGGCACGCTACTTCAATCGAGGAGAACCTTATGGATTATGCTCAGTCTCCGGTTCGACATTGCGTCTCAATCGCAGAGGATTTGATCACGTTTAGCTTACTTGCATATGTCCTTGGAGTCTGTTGCCACGCTAACAACTATGTAAACAGTTGCATCCCTCGTCCTGCCCTTTGCCCATGTCTTGCGTCCACGAAAACATTATCTCCACCGCCATATGATCATTTTCCTCGCACTCGGGCCACTCTTCATCATCCTCACAATCTCCTACGAAGGACTCTTTTACTTCGGCATTGTTATCACCCTCTTTTGCTGGGTCCAACTCGAACACAGAATACATCAACGCTCTAAGAACGGCAGTACCCGCAACATCATGTCCAGCGACGATTCTCGTCCACCGGGCAACGCCAGGAACGCCGCAGCTAATGATTACGCCTTCAACACGAAAAAGGCCCTGAAAGAGGAAATTTCAACACCGCTTGCAACAGCCGTTGAGGCAGCGAAGCAGAGAGAAAAGGCTGCCGTAGAGGGGAACTACAGGAGTCTCATCCTTTCAGATGTAAGAGTCTGTCTGTTCTTCCTCTTCCTGCTGCACTCCGCCTTCTTCAGCACTGGAAACATCGCCTCGGTCTCCTCATTCTCGCTGGACGCTGTCTACCGGCTACTTCCCATCTTCGATCCCTTCAGCCAGGCGGCTCTTCTCATCTTCAAGATTCTGGCTCCTTTCGCCCTGGTTTCTGCCAACCTTGGATTTCTGACCAAGAGACTGAAGCTTCAAGGTGGGAGTCTGTTCACGGTTGTCATGGGCATCGGTGACTACATGACTCTGCGCTTCTTCTGGGCAGTAAGAGATGAGGGGAGCTGGCTGGAGATTGGAGAGAGTATTAGCATGTTTATTATTGCTTCTGCGTTATGTGTTTTTGTTGCGGGGTTAGAGGCTTTGTCGGAGGTGTTTGTTAGAGGTGTGGAGTTTCAAGACGATATGTAGAGTAAAGGGAATCCGCTAGGTATAATGAAGGATACCTAGATAGGCGGACGTTTACTATATATAATATTAATAAATAATTTACTAATATGCCATGCAGTCAATCAGATCACGACGCCATATTCAAAACAACTATCCCCGTCTCAGCTGCGGCATCGTCTAAACATTGTTTTTCGGCAGGCCGAGGGCTTCCAACAAGCGATCACTAACGTATTTCCCGGGTCATCCGGCCACCCGGCCGCCCTTCTAAAATTGAAGCCATACAAAACACCATATAATTGCATTTCTATAGAATAATGAGTAGTTCTATCGATTCGGGCAGTTTGTAATCCTATGACCCTGTACATTGCAACCAGAACACCTAGGTGGGGCGCGTCTAGGAGCCGATTCAGCAGGTAAAGCCCCATCTGCCTGTATGGCTTCATCTGCATGTTTTCTGCTTTCTATAAGCGCTCTTGCTTCCTGAACTGATATACCTGATTCTATTTGAAGCTGCTTTTTAGAGTGCTTTTGCTTTTTAAGCTGCTTTTCATGAGTAGCCTGGTATTGCTCAATTTAATGCTTCAAAATAGTTATCTCAGCTAGAGCCTGTTCAGCACCTTTTAAAATCTGATTTAAATTCAGTTTAACAGGAGAATCAGGACTTCTAGATCAATTTCTCAACAGCTTTTTTAATCTAGATTCTGATTTATTCAGCTGTTTCACAGTATAAGGTGTTTTAGACGCTGAGCTGCCTTAACTACTTGGTCTGCTGTCTGGAGGTGTAGAAGTTTTAAGCTGCACAGTAATTTAAGCAAGAACCTGCTCAGGATTAAAAGGAACTAATTCAGTTGCTTGAAAAGCGCTATAGATATTGCTGCTAGTAAAGACAAGTGTGCGTGCCTTAGGATAGGCTGATAAAAAATTATCTTTATCAATATGATTGATTTTACAGCGTATTTTAGATTTAACTGATTTTCCGTACACCTTTTTTAGAAATAAAAAGCAGGTAGTATCAAGCGGTTGAAGCTTATGAGAAGTATAAGCAGGCATGCAGATTAGTATAATATCATTCTCTGAGCAAATCTGATTAAATTGAGGCATAAGATAACTATTATGGCTATCAAGAACAAGTAGGGGATATCGTCCTACAGATCAGTCTGTAGTAGCAGGTATAAAATAATTCTATAGCCAGGGTAGAACAATTTCATTGCTTGTCTAATCATTAGGACTTATTTTAATTCTCTAATCAGATAAGATATTTTAATTCTTATACCAGGCCTCTATATACACTTTGCCTTTGAAAACAATACAGGGAGATAGAGCCCATCTATTAGAACTTATATATTCTATAGAGATGACCTATTTCTAGTTCCCTGGCTGTATAAAAAAAGGGTTTCCTTTCATATCAGATCTAGTAACTACCTTAGCAGTAGCTACTAGACCCATTATAAATCCTATTTCATCAAAATTATAGATATCACTCGATGTAATACCATACTGCTGAATAACCTCGTTTATCTGCTAGAACCAGGCACGCAGAACCTTAGAATCTTCAGCTTTAGCACGCTGATAGTTAAATCTGTATATAAAGAACATTTTCAGCTCAGGCCTGCGCCTAATAAAGATTAAAACCCAGTTTTTGCCAATCAGAGTAGAAATAACAGTAGGATCACGCTTAGCAAGCAGAAGATTAGCTATTTCTTATATATAAGCAGACCGAGAACTTGCTTCACGTTAATCTAGGGATATAATCCACTGTACAAGCGATTCTTCTTCAGAGATAGTCAATTTATGATTCTCTGAGCACACTTGAGACTTAAAAATGCTTCCTTTTAAGCGATCAGTCAATGTAGAACGAGGCACATTATAAACTTCAGCAGCCTTCTGAATACTGTCGAATTGTTCGTTTTTAATAGCTGATATAGCCAGCAGATCATGCCTTCTTGTTCCACTAGAGATTTTGATGATTTAGGCATTTTTGGTGGTATGACTGGTTCTTGAATTGCTTTAAAATTTGAGGCGCGTACAAAACGCGTAGGGTGGCTATTGAATACGCCCATGAAATTACCTAGTATCGCAGGCACCTGACCTATGCTTGATGAATTGACCACCTGCGGAAGTATGTGAATACTATGGTGATCAGACCACATATAAATAGCCTCATGATTCCCACCTAGATAGGCAAGTGAGATAGCAGGATAGGCATCAAAATCTGATCGTTTTGATATCGTTTCATACGAATATCTTACCAGTTATTCTACAGTGGCCGGGTGGCCGGGTGGCCGGATGACCCGGGAAATACGTTACATAAATCACGCATATTATTAAAATCTGCTGCTACACCCCTTTCGGTAGGGCAGCAGGCGCAGACGCAACCACAATGATTAAGCTGAAAGCAATCTTACTTCTATTACCTTGCAAAAATGCTTCTAACATATATAAAGAGCTTCGGAAGGTGGTTGACCAAGCCGTGGAGAGCGGGAAATTATCCGATTTTCCGGCCGTTCAGCTCCCACTTTTCAAGGCAACAATCAACGAGGCATTGCGGTTACAAGCTGGTGTGGGATTCGCTATGCCTCGAGTCATGGATCAGACTAAGATTGAGCTATCAGGATTGTACATCCCGCCCGGATGAACAATCTGTATGAACGCCGCCGTCGGAGGACGAGATGAGGACGTATACGGCCGGGGTGTCAGTACTTTCCGTCCAGAGAGGTGGGTAGGACGCACTGATAGAATGAAAGAACGAAGAATCGATTTTAGGCTTGGGGGCAAAAGATGATATGTGCTAATTTATTTGCGATTATGGTGGTGACTTTTATACGCGGAGATCTAAATACTCACTATAGGTTGACCGTGGCCCCAAATTCTAGCAACAGCTTCACAGCCACCTCACTTCCAGCACCAACCGCAACTGATAGTGGTGTTTCTCCATCCTTGTTTCGTATGTTGAGCAACGAAGAGTCCCCACCGCAGCAGCTCAGAAGCCGTTCCAGTATCCTATGACGATTATGGAACACAGCCCAATGAAGGGCCGACCAATGAGCATTATCAACATGGCCCATACCGGCCCCGTGCGATAGCAATAGCTCTAATATTTCTTCATGGCCCCCAATTACCGCGCACAACAGAGGTGTAAGACCAGCGTTATCCTTCGAGTTGCAATCTGCGTTATGCTCGAGTAAAAGGCGGACGACTTTGCTATTCCCCGTCTGCACTGCTCGATGAAGCACAGTCTGTCCTGCTCGCGCTCTGCCACTTTCGTTGTTATCGACAGGATCACTCGGGTTCCTTGTTGTATGACGTTCTTGACAGTCTCTCAGCTCCGAAGGGAGGGCAAGGGGAGTAGTAGCAGCAGCAAAGGGAGCCGTCCCTTTCAGTGTCGATGTCCAGAAGTCGGGCGTAATATCTTTGTTCGTCCCGCAGTTGGCGTTAGGATCCAGAAAGAAATCATCAATCACACTGTCTCCTCGACTGTCCTCGAAACGGCTTATCGAGGACTGCCTCCGACTCGAACAGATTATGCTAGGTGGTGTGACTGGCGTCAATGCGCTGGGGGCTATTGGATTGATGTCGTCAAGGGCATTTGAGGCGCTGGTTTGTGGATTCGATTGATCTTGCGCGGGTGAGGCTCTACGTCCTCGATTTTTCTCTTATCACGAGCGGACGGAAAGTCAGTATTATCAACGTTTTATGGTGGATCGTTTGACTAACGTCGGAAACGTTGTTGGGCCAGGCGATTCTGCTCACGACGGCGATCCGCCACCGTCGTATTTGCTCTAGGGATGCTGGAATCTTGTGTCGTTGCTGGTGAACCACATGAACTGCACAGCATTCTGCCGAGCGTTGCTGAGTAGTCTTGCAAGAATATAATATGCAAAGGATCAGTCTATACAAGGATAACGCCTGTCAGTTAGGTGAGGATCACTTATACCAGGCACCAGGATTGATACAGGAGCTAAGGTTCAGTACTTACTTTATCGCCTATGAATGGTACTGATGTTATATCCCAGTTGTCGTGGTATCATTAGTCGTAAGTAGTAAAAGAGTCAGTGGGCGGGTGGGTGAGGATGGAGTTGGTGCCATATTTATGTTCATTCAATCTGTTCAATAAACAACTGAAGGATTCAGGCTGACTCTGAAGATCAATTGTTATCAGTTGCAGATGCCACCAATAGGATGACTGAGCAAATTATACTATCCTCCATATAGAATGGTTAAATGCTGGCATCTTTACCCTGCCTGCACCTTGGCAAAAATGGACCACTTCACATCTCAGCCTTGTCTTCCAACAAGCGTCGTGAACGCTAGCTGGAGACTTATCCTGCTAAGGGATTTGTCGAGCACCTTGTTGGATTTCACCCCTGCACGCACCTTCTCACTGTCTCTTTTCCTACTGGCCTAGGAATATGCATACATACATAATTAGTGCGTCCCCACCGTGTAAGTGAGAAGCGAGAATATCTCCGCTGGTCGTTCTGGTAATTTGGTGGGCTGAATATCAAGCATACCACCTACTAAGTCTTTAGGGGCTAAAAGCCTCGCTACTTCTATGATCATACGATAGTAACGAGGTTTAAATTATCTAATATAGATAGAGATTTAATACCTCTATAAAGATTGTAAGCGACTATGGATGGTATTTTACCTAAGTACTTAGCAAGGCTACTTATAGTTATATTAGCTTCCCTAACCTAGTTTATAGCTATTATATTATCCTAGTATTTTTAGCGCAGCTAACAGTTATATATATAAATGTAGTATCAGAATTAACGTCCAATCGCCTCCCAGGCCGTTTGTGGTGGAAGCTAAGGGGGATATTACGGCGCAGTCTAGTACTTTTGGTGAGGATCGCATTACCCCATAATCGAGCTCCATAACCCCTGGTTTCTCTTTTCAGGAAAAAGACCCTTGTTATACCTAAGAGACGCTTGGTAAACCATAAGTACCCTGCGATCGAGAAGTACACCACAGATTATACTCTCTGGATAAAAGTCGTCCGTCCGCTTAATCTCGATCACCTGTTATCAGCATCGAGCATGGATAGCATCGCCTTGTCTGTTGCGAAACTTGAGCAGATCCTGTGCGCGTAGACCGGTTTGTGAACTCAAAATTCGGTAGGAATAATCCTTGCCCTGAGTTACATCGTGCTAGACAGATGCGGGTATATCCTTTTCTCCGAGAACGCAGATTACTGACAATAAAGCCAGCTCAAGGGTTAGATCGTTTCTCTAGTGACGAGCCCATGCGGGCAATGGGGCCAGAGCCTGGAAGCGTATTTCGGGAAGCTACGAGGATCCTGCCCTTAAGTTCACCTTGAAAAAAACGCCACACAAGTTCCTACTTCAAACTATCCGCCCTGCAACCCCTCTACTCCCGTCTCTTTGTCCCGTTTATCGATCTCATCTGTATCTTTTGACATTGACGTCCAGGATCTAGCCTCTATGGCAGAGTATGTGGTGGGGCGCACAAGAATAGAATGGCTCTCCGGCCTTCCTTCCACCGGCGGTTCGCCCACGGCCAGAGTTGTACTTACCAGTGGAGAACGGTCCTCCCCCTGGTCTGCGAGCTACCAATCAACGATACAGGGGCCTGGTGGAGCCAGGATCGTCCCGCGGTTCCATGCCGATCTTTACCTATATTATATTTACCTAAAATTTGGTGGATCTCCAACAGGAAACGCTTACGTCTGTCAATCGCCAGGGAAGACGAAATCACACACAATCTGTGTCTGCCTCGTTCAGTGTGACCGGTTGATTCCATAACTCGGCCTGTGACAATTGTGCGCAGTTGTTGGTAGCCAAGCTGCTGCCGCGCAATATCGGTTTGCTTTATCCGGTTTGTCTTGGTTTCTTTTTTCTTGGCCGCTCACGGGAGGAGCTAGTGGTTGACGTGTTGCGCACAACTATGTATCCGACCACCTTGGCGATTGGGGAGCGAAATGCGTGGGGGAATCCCCTTGGGGTACCTACATATCTCCGTCAGAGATCTAAACTGGGATTGTCTTAGCCGTGAACGCAATTGCGCGTCCTCGTGCTCAGCAGCTGGCCCCAGTTCCAGTAGTTCTAGCCAATGTTCCCTCAACATGGTCAAATTTAGGGACCATCTACCTATCCTGGCAGGGTGTTCCACTGCTCATTTAGTGTCATGGTAGACGATCGGACCATGGACGTCCAGCCGCCGCAGCTTTGCACTGGCTGTGATGGTTCTCACGGGGGAGGCGGAAGCATAAACCTTCGTCCACAGTGTCATCCCGCAAACAAGAGTGTTGTGGAGGGCTCGGGCCGAGAACCAATCTCGTGCTTTTTACCTCCTACCGGATGTAGATTAGCTTCAACGTCATACCAAGGTTAACTGTATCAATAATGATCCTTCATTGGATAATAGTAGAGCTGAGACTGTTGAAGGGGGTAATTGCAGCCTAAACAGTCTCCAACCAAGGTCTCACCACCCAGCACCGGTGTTAAAGCATCGCGTTGAACTCGGCGATAGGTAGACAATCCTCTGTAAATGGCCGGCTGCGATGGTCGCCAACGTTCTACCCTGATGGAGAAGGCTGAGCGTCCCATAAATGCTGCTTTCGACTTGTCTGTCTTACATATGTGTGATTTCTATATCCTTGTCGAGCATAAGAATGGAGTTTACACATTCAACTCCTCGAAACAAAGCTTCTGGCTGCCTTCTGACCACCGGCTGGTGAATCCTGGGTTCGCATTACCTTCACCTTCGAGCTAAAGGAAAGCAGGAAGAACTCTACCCACGTATTGTGCGTCTCAGTATGCATGACGTAGTTCGTACCCACTGACAGAGGACGAGCTCGATGGCCTTATTCAGCTGTGCCATTATTCCTACACTTGGGCAAGGTTTTGCAAGACGCAAAATCCCGAGTACCTCGTGAGAACATCACGACCGGGGTAGATCAGCTCGGCGAAAATGGTGGTCCCACAATACGGGCTCCTGTAGGATGGATGACCCCAGTGGCGATGGTAGTGACGATGGCACGGGGCTCAGGAAGGACCTCGAGGAGCTGGTTCCCACGGGATACATTTCCAAGTAAGTCTTGGCTTGAACCTGACGCGACGGAGGTTTGATCCTTTTGACAGAGATCATCGAGAAGTACATCTGATAAGGTATGATTAATCTTCAAAATGGGCCTCTGCTTTGTTACTCCGGGGCAGGTCTCTGAATGCCGTGTACCATGGTATCTGGTAGCAAGCCCCCACATCCCGGTCGGTTAGCAAGGGCACAGCATCAAGCCAGATGTGGTATGCCAAAAAGGCCTCTTTCTTGCTCCACTCTATGAGGCCCAACTGTAAATATGAAGTGTCTGACGCTGTATTCTTTGCCGTTGATAAATTTCGCAAAGACAGATCGAACAGTAGCGACGGCTATAGGAGCGTCCTTTGTGGATTCAATAAACGTGGATGGAGATTTCCTAGGGGTTTTGATAACCACACGATCCAACTTTCATTCTTTATGTTTTCTCCCCTGAGAAGAGGTGAGATAAGGTTATATACATCACATGTGGTCCTTCCTTTGTCTCGAACGCAAAAGGAGCTCCATAGTCAGGATAAGCGACGGTAACCAATATTTGGACCCTAGAAGTTTTGGTGGCGGTCATTAGTCCCCTTCCGGAATTGTGGCGTGGCCATCAAAGGTAAGAACCCAAAGAAAAATTATGTGATGCTAGCCTATAAGAAGGAATCTGTGGGGATGATCACATCAACATCTGAATCTCACTTAAGAACATGTAGAGAACCTTTGATTGGTCGCGCAAGGAGATTTTGACAATGTCAGATGAACTCTCCAAGACTGTTTGTGTCTGCTTGTTGATCTGTTTGTTGAACTTCCGTGTTTTGTCGTTAAAATTGGATCTTTATGCTTTGGCTATCCAGCCAGTGGACGCACGTCTACTATGCGACTTAACATGTGCATGGTAAGGAGAGATACTTTCCCGATAGTGCAGAGGCGGTGCACTCTTTAGTACGGGGGGAACAGGCCACTTATTCCATCATTATTATAATTAAGGGCCGTTGCCTTAATAAATATAGCTTTTTTTGATAGGTAAGGAAATTTTGCTGCCAGAACTGATTGAAAAGCAATACATCTTAGGACATGACCCCTGCGTACCCTGGGGATGAAAGGCATACTAACAAAATCACTGGGGAGTGCAAGGAGACAAGAGCAGAGGATGTAATTATCTGTGGGTGTTCTTGCAGGGGCAAATGTCGCGGGAAGAGACATGGCGCTTGTTTGATCACTTTACGAATTGAAGGGGCATCAACTGTTAAAAAGACACTCTCATTGCTCTGAATTGTCAATATGACGATTGATTGCATTTCAGTGAAGGGATGGATGTCAGTCGAATGAACAAAATGAACGGGAGGGCACAGAGAGCTCAACCCGCGTCAACAGGCCTTGTGTAGCCTGAACTGTCTTCTGCTCGGTGAAAAGTTTGCTGTAGGATAATAATAGCATAACGATCAGGTATAGATGCTCTCCAGATGTTCTGATCTACCAAATTCATCTACGAATTTCTCACGGGCTGAATCCGTCCTATGAAAATGCTAGGGTTAGTTAATGTTCTCGCATATGCGGCGGCGCAGCATACCATCCGAGCGGGAGTCAATGATGAAGCAGGCCAGCTGAGCCGGATACTGAAACCAGACGCGAGCGGCCCAACCACGTGGACAGGCCAATGTGCAGATACACTGGGATTTCCGTAATGAGCCGGGTAGAGCGGAGTCGTGCGTGTTCCGGAGGGTTCCCATTCGAACGATCAGGACATCATTCTGTTTGAGGAGATCATCCGTCCTACTGCCAGTCAGAAGAGAAACTACCTCTATAGTACAATCGGTCCCCAGACTCTTTGCTAAGAGGGGAACCCTCAGAAACAGACTTTCCTGATGGATTGAGGAAGATTATTTCTTCTAGCAGGAAGTAATGGGCATGCGAGATATGGAACTCTGTTGTGATCTCTCAAAACAAATGAATCTCATGAATGATGTAGGATATGTGGATGCTCCATTGTAGTACCCATTGTTTGTCTTTTCGAGGGGCCCGTATCTCTTCGTATCCCACGAGTTTACTTCAAAATTGATGTCTGCCAAGCTCCATGGTGTTTCCAAGCAGAATTGCGAAA